TTATTTATTTATTTATTTATTTATTTATTTATTTATTTATTTATTTGAGACCCAGTTTCTCATTGGTCCTGAAGCTGGCTCTTTGGGCTAGTCTGGCAGGCCAGCCAGTAAGTCTTTGAGATTCACCTGCCTCCACTCCCCAATTCTGGGGTTATAGTTACATGCAGCCATGCCTAGCTTTTGTGGGAATGCTGGGGATTTGAACTCTTGATTTCATAGAGAGCACTCCTACCCACTGAGCCATCTTCACAGCTAGAAAGAATTGTTTAAGACAAAGTAAAAAGCTGATGAGAGAACAATGATCTAAAAATCAACAATTAGATTGTTACTATTCAGCATATACTATTTGGAGTAAGAAAATATGTTTTTTTTCCTTACTTCAAAATATATTATCAGACAGAAATTTCAAGTTCTCTTGAAATAGTTTGGGGGCTTTGTGTAATGGTGTACCAATATACCTAGTATCAACAGATCTGAAAAGGTTATGAAAGACATTACCTCCCCCAACTACAGATTCTATTTTTCATATGAGAAAACACTCATGTAAAATGCTCAGTTTACAAATTTTATAAACAAAAGCTTTCTGTAAAACAGCATTACTTGTCATTTTCTCATTTATTACAGAAAGCACAGAAAAAAGTTTAAGCCTTTAATTTTGATAGAAATGAAACACGTATATGTAATTTTCTAAAAAAACTATGACCATTTCAGACATATTTAACCTTGATTCTACAGAAGTTTTTAAAAATACAAGGCACTTCATGCTCTAGGTTTTCAAAAAGAGTTTTAAGTAGCTGCTAAAGGCATAGTCTTGAGCCAGGTCAGCTGGGTACTGGCTGTCTTACCATTTGGGCCACAAGAAACTGCAACCATGGAATTTTTAAAATCTTTTACTCAAAATTCTAATTCTTTTTCATGTGAAAATAAGAATTAACTTTTAACTGTGGCCTTTTTCTTTCTTTAAAGACATTAGTTAGAAAAAGAAACATCTAACACTAAAAACCCATCTTTGTCACATCTGTACCATGATGGGTAGTTTAAATTATCTCAGTATTATCTATGAAGGAAAAAAATCATTCATTCATATTTAAATGAAGAACCATTTGGTCCTAGATGCTATCATGAAAGTAGAGGTATAATTTTATATTATTTTGATAATATGGGTTTAGATAAAAGAATGTAGCTCATTAGTTCCCATCTTGCCTATTCTGTTGTTGCTTATAGCCTGATCTTTCTTATCAGTCTGCTGTATTTCTGGTGATTATTAGAAGTTCAATGCTTTAATGTGGCCAAATCTGTCATAAGGAAATAAGTGAAAGGGTCTGGGCGGCAGCTGCGTGCACTTACTTAATGCTAGAAAATGACACGCAAAATGGAAGGATACATAGCATAATGGCCCAGGCTTCAATAACAGGCTGAGCATGATTAACACTCTTCCATAATTACTGTTCCTCAACCTGCTATTATTGGAGAGTTTAGAATACCACAGTCCTGCGATTGTGGCTGCTCTGGTAAAAGTAACTCCTCTCTGCTGTGCATTATTGTTATTAAGGCTTATTAATGCATTTCAAGCCTGTGTAACTTTTTGGCAAAAGCAGCCCTGAACAGCAGGGACATAATCAATAGTATTAACACACACAATTTGTAATTTGCCCAACCTAGAATCATATCTTTATAGAAAATGCCTATGGGTTAGATGATTGTGCTTTTTAAGCCAGCAGAAAGTGACAGTATAGACCATCACCAACCTAGCTAAATATAGATATCACTACTGAAACGAAGGAGGGATGAAGGGAGGAGGAAGAAAGGGAGGAGGGGCTTACCAATAACCCTGGTGTGTTGACATCCACGTGACTAACAACCTGGAGCTCTCTTTTTACACTCTGATCTGGTACCTGGGGTCGTTCTAACACAGCCCTCACACAGTACTTAATACTGCCGTATTTCCCAGTAAATGAGGTTACCAAAGGTCTGAAATAAACCAAAGATACGGATTTGAAGTTTATTTTCATTATATAGAGTCAGGAAAAGCATGTTTTAAAATGTGGGCTGAGGTTGCAGAAACAAGTAAGCAGGTAAGTGGAGGAAGGGTTACTCAGGATACGCACACAAACTGCAGAGTCAGGGATACGGGAGTATTCAAGCGTTTGGAAGAACACAAAGTAGGGGAAGAAAACTGCAGACTTAGAGCTTTACTTACTCAGATGGAAGTTGAAAGCGAAATGGAAATTCATGTTTTCCAGGCTGTAATAAAATGATGTTTTCACCTGTAAAAAAGATGACATTTTATCTTAACTAAGGTCAACATTAAATCCAAAGTTATACATTTAAGATATAGTCTTTAAAGGAGGTTTTCCTGGCAGTACACTCTAAAATTCATTAAACATTTAGAGAATTAAAATTCAGGCTTTTTTGTACAAGCAATACACCCATGTCTTCTATCCACAAAGTGATCAATTATACAATTACCATAAAGTGTTATCCAGAGCTAAGGACTCCATATACATATATAGTACATGTACATAAATACAGGTTTAAGTGCATGGATATATATAGACACACACACATGTGGATATTACTCTACTTATACTAACATGAAATATCAATATTAGATTGGACCTAAAACTAATCAACAAGTTACATTTCTTTGGGTATATACTGTATATTCTTCAGACAGAGATTAAAAAGGAAGTGAGAAACTTAGGAACATTATTAATAGTGATTATAAACAAGACAGACCAACCAACTAGAGTCAGCTATTGACTTTAGCTCTACTGAGATTAACAGGGTTTCTTGGTGGTTAACTTGGGATCGACCAAGCATAACATGGTCTTTCTGCTCGGGGTTGTTGGCTTCATTCAACTTCATGCACAGACTTGTTACTGAGGGAAGACCAAAATATAGGGCTGGCCAGTGTAAGAGCAGGAGTACCAGTAGAACCTGTGGTGAATGTCCATGGAGAATTTGATTAATTTAGATCTAAAGTCAACTCTACACTTCCATGATTATCAGCTGCTCACCTACGACACAAACTTTCCTTTCCAGCTCGGACTTAATACTACACTGTGTCAAGTAAGATGAGAAAAGGATGGCAGAGAACTTCTTCTCAGGTTTGTCTTTTTATGTGACAGTACAAAAGATTTCTACTTTGTGAATTAAAAATCAGTAATAAGGTAGGCCTTACTTTTTAGTTAATTATCAACAAGTCAGTCTTTCAATCTTGTACTTTTGGAAATTAAGAATACATTATTGGCCCAATTTATCTTCTAAATCTATTTCTAGTTTTTAATATGTACTGCATTAAGGTGAAAAAGGAACACAGGTCTATTGTACATAGAAATACATTACAGGTAGGTGACCTGAAGGCAAAGTGAACAACGATCAGTTACAGGGACATGAGGTCAGATTAAATGGTGTGATATGGTGAGTCCCAGAGGCTCGAGATGCCTAGACTGGCCTCACAAGTCTAGGCAGGGTCCCAGGGAACTACAGTACTAGAACAAGGGGCACTTCTCTATCTCAGGCCTCTACAGTAAGGAGCTCATGGCAACAGAACTTATGATTTGTGATCAGTAAGGTGGGTTACTGAGCAGGGCAAAGTAATTGTAAATGTTTAGACATGGGTATTTTATCTGAGTCCAACATTTATAGGCCAGGCACTGTTGATAAAAGAAGAATATCTTCAATCCTCAAAGACCAGTTGGAGACCAGGAGACTAGACACTAGTTAGCACTCAAGCAAGGACCATAGAGTGCTAAAACCCAGAGTACATTCACATGAACAAGGATGGGCCTGAAGCCTGAGGGTCAGAATAGAGATGAGTGGATTGGGGCTTACATGAAGGGAACTGGATGCAGAAGCATGGAAGAAGTGTAGAGACCAGGATCATCCAGGATATTGGAAAGGGGTGAGAGATGAAGATCCCCTTTATAGAGAAAACAAATCAATGGAGGAACTACCTCACTTACATTGAGACATCCAACTATCTTAAACAAAAAACATGGAGAAAACCTGATCAACACTATAATATTTGGAAAAATCATTGTTTCTTTCTCTTTTTACTTCTATGTTTAGTTAAAAACATTCACAAGATGTACCATGTGCCCAATCCTGCTTCTGTTTTCACAGCTCACTACTTCTATCTTGTACACAGAGGACTACAATGCCATAGAGAGCTGTTTCAATCACTGAAGGGCTTCTAGCCAAAGCTCATAATCAAAGGTTTTCACAAGCTTTGGGATCTAGAAACATTACAAGGGAAGAGACTGGATCTCTAGAAAGGTGGGGGGCTTACGTGAGGTCACGCTTCTGTGGGTGCCCCGGAAGTAAAGCCAACTCTCTGCTTTTGTCTATTTGTCTCTCACAGTTCCTTGAGGAAGATATGATGCACTTTGGCCACAACGGCATCAGATGGTTAGGTAAGACTAATAAAGTTAAAGAATCTTCTGGGGAGACTTAAAAACAATAGGCCCTAGTATTACATTTCCTAGAAGTCTACATTAAAAACAAAAACAAAAACAGAAAACAACTCTTCACATCATTGGAAAACAGTTTATGGAACTAAATGACCCTGAGAATCTGGTCTGTGTGTCAAGTTGCTAAATTCTTTCAAATTGTAGCTATCTAGGCTGATGTCATTCCTGCTTAACTAAGAGAGACTTTAACCTTAAGTAAACTATAACTGTTGCTAATACTTGTTATGATACCTTCTAAGCAAATTGAAGATTTTCAGATTGTCTAGATTTAGATACTCCATTTCATTAGAATGAAAAAACAAGGTGTGACTGTGAATAAAAAAGCCATTTGTTAGTCGGGATCTGACCAAAGTGATGCTCATTTCTCATCCCAGGTAGATGCTTCTAATTTTGAATCTATTTACTCAATGGTTATAAGTTCAGAGTACGAAGTCTTAAACAAAAAACAATTTACTTCTCTTTTCCATGGCCTTCCCTCCAGTCAGCCATCTTTGAAACCCTTGTTGGTTGTTATCACTGAGAGAGAAGAGCTGGAAAGCACAGGGAGGAAAGGACATTTGGGAGGTGAGCACTGTCAACTGCCACTCCCAAAAGACAGCTCCTATTATGTTCATCCTTGAGGAGCCTACTGCTCCACAGCGGGATAAGACATAACTGTACCACTTTGCTTTAGATACATAAACTCATGGACATAATACATTTTAATCTTCCAATTATCTTGACAGGCATAAGCTGATGAGGCAGGTAGATAAAACTTTAAAATGGTTCCCCCCCCCAAGAAAAGACAGATTCACTGTTCTTAGCATTTCCACTATGAAAGAGAATCAGTTACACATCTGTCATTAACTGCAACACCCATAGTGGGTCAGCACAAGGCACTTCTGGAAAAGCAGGAGTGAAGAGGAAAAGGTAATTCAGAAATGCTCAGATGGCACTGTCCCCAAAGGTCATTTGGAAAGAGGAGAGGCAGGAGGAGAGGTACAGAAAACAAATCCGTGACAGGAGGCAGGGTCAGCTCTTAGCAACATGCTCAGCTCCCCAGAGTGGGAAAGTACGTATGATGGCCATACTAGAAACACTTCCTTTAAGCTACCCAAGAACTACTTCCCTCTTCTCAAGATCTAGTTTCTGCAAACTCATCATGAACCACAGAGGACTGTCTAGGGCCTGGATGGGGGAGCAGTGGAGGCCCAAGAAATTCTGGGCACCACCTACTCATGTCATGTAATGGAACCCCACACACCCTGGTTCCACCTTCCATGCCTCCAGGCCAAGAAGGACCTAGAACCTTGACAGTCTAATCACGGTTCCCATGACAACGGCTCACTCCCTTCTAGTTCCCGAGAAGATTCTGGGAGGACAGGGTCAAGGTACCAGAAGCAACTGTTGTTCATCATCACCTCCAAAGGGCCTGGTTTCTTCTTGGCTTTCAGGTAGGGGCACAGGCTTGATCACCTGCCATTCACTTGTGACAACAGGAGCCATTCTCCTTCCAGAACCTCTCCCAGCTCACAAGCCACCTGCTTGCCTCACTCATCCCTGTCCCTCCCCAGGGACCCCCACAGCCATGGCAGTGAAGCCCAGATGGAGTTGCCCATGCTCACCGGCCGGGGGCTCCCGCAGGCTCAGGCATACATTCAAGTACTCCACCTCCGAACAGGCAGCTGGGGCACCAGTGCTGGCCGAGACCCGGGCGCTGGCGCTGGGGCCCCAGGCGGCGGTGGCACGGCCCTGGGCCTCCAGGCGCAGCGCGCGCAGGGCCACCGGCTCGGCCGCCTCCAGCAGCACGTGCCCAGCCACGGTCTCGCCGCTTGAGTAGCAGCCCTTACTCTCGTCCTCGAACACCAGCCCAAGGCTCTTGACGCGGCCCCCGGGACCCTCGGCCGCAGCCGCTCCAGCCTCGCAGCCCATCCTACCCGGCGGCACGGTCCTGCCACCGAAGTCGGCAGCGGCCCCCAGCCGGGGTCGCCAGCACCGCGGCGCTGCTGTCACGGGCGCCTGCCGCACACCTAGGGCCACCGCAGCCGCCTTGCCTAGCCAGGTGAAGCACCCGACACCGGGGACTCTGTAGCTTTAACACACCTAACTGGGACTGGACAGGGGCCGGGACAGCCCGCCCCCGGCGCGCGCCCATAGGTCAACTCTGAGTCCTGCTTCTTGCCCATTGGTTGTGAATGACCACTGAGTCACTTCATTGGCTGCCCCACATCCCGGCTGGAGCAGGACGGCACTGCGTGATCAGGCCGTCTTCGCCAATCGGGAGGCACCTGAGTGCACGTGCACAGGCCGCTTATTGGCTGCGGCCATGCACAGTCCTGGGTCACAGACCAATAGTGAGGCAGTGCGCCCATGTGGACAGTGGATGGGAAACAATATATTGTCAGGGAGGGGGAGGAACAGGGACTCTCCAGCTTGTGGTGTGTCAGCAGTTTCTATGGTTACAAAGGCGGGCGGGGTTTCTAACTAGGTGAGGACTGATTGCTGGAGTCACTGTGTTCTCTCCACTACATAAACTTGTGGCTGCAGCAGGACGGTGTTTATGATGGCATATGATGGCATCTGCAGCATTCCAAAGGAATAGATTTCCTGGAACATGCAACTCATCAGTCTTCCCTTGTGAAACTTCGGGACTGGCTCCCTTGGAACTTTAAACCACATATCCTAATCTAGGATCCTAAGCCCCGCCCCTCTGGGTTTCAGAATTCCCATACTTAGGGAAGAGCTGAAGCCTAGGAAGAATGTTGTGGTTCTGAAAGCCTTGGCTTTCCCAGGCTCCGCAGTTCCTCCAAGCTGGGAATGGCTGGTCTGATTCTTCCTTCTCTAAATAAGGTCAGGATTCACCTGGTTTTAAAACAGCATCATCTGCTCACGCATGTTGTTGCAAACCCGATTCCATTGTCGGCACAATAACGCTCCATTTGTTCATTACACGTTATACATATATATTTATATACATGCAAAAATTGTGAAATGTACAGACACTATGTGCTTGGTGTCAGGTGAGAGGAACACCTGACACCAAGGCCGCACCCCAAAGCATTTCCTAACCTCAGGATCACAGTCCTTGAACACGTCCAAGTTCCTTGGTGACTGGTTCCCCACACCCACAGCTCCTCTTACCTCTTTTTCTTTCTTAAGCTCACATTCCTTTGCCTTTCCGGTGTCCTCTGTTATTCAGCATAGCTGTCACCATTTGGCTATCATTTTCACATCTTCTAAGTACCCCTGATCAAAATTCTAAGTTTGTGAGCTGTTATCAAGGACTGATTAATTGGAAATTGAGATTTATTTCCCAATGTAATTTTTAAGGTTCTCAAAGTAAAGGTTATTCTACAGCCCTCTGAGTTTAGCTAACAGACTTCTAAAATTATTTTTATTGACTCTAATATAATATTCTTTGAGAATGGCATACAATGCATTCTATCACATCCTCCCCCTCCCACTCCTTCCCTTCTCCTCCCAGATCCACCAGTACCCATCAGCTCCTTCCAACTTTCTCTCTTTAATTAATTAACCTTTATAACCCACTGAGTCAAATTTGTACTACCCATGTACCCACGGAAATGCAGCCATCCACAGGAGCTGGATAGATCCACCAGGTGCCACACCCATAAATAAAACTGACTCTCATGCAGGCCTGGTACTATGAATTAACATAGATCTTTAATAAGATTTTAGGTACAAAGATTCCTTATCATTTCTCAAAAAATGTGGAAAGGGCCACAAACCCATCCCTGGCTAACATTCTGAAATGGCCATTGGCCTCTGGCCACTTTGTCTCTAATGGTCTCTGATGTGCTCTTTCTCTGCTTAATCTCTGTATCACAACCAGATCTTATATGTGTGTTTCCATGGTGTCCACCACTGCCACTGGAAACACAAAACTTGTTCTCATTCATTTTTTTCAGCCTTCAGTATCTGTCACAGAATGTAGCATGCAATAAGCTCTCAATAAATATGTGTTGACACACTGAATGATGACTCAACCTATGTGGCATCACTGACTCTGTAATTAAAGAGTAGCACTCCACCTCTTGCTAGGTTTCCATTGGCTCCAGGCAAATGCTCTTTTCAAAATTAAGTGGTTGGGAAAGGGTAAAGGGGCAATGGAACTCACAGAATGAAAAAATGACAGAATTGCATACTTGGTATTCTGGCTGAGATACATATTAATTCTTGGTCAGAGGTATAGCTACGAAGGGAAAGATTTTCTCCCATTGTATAGGCCATCTCTTAACTTGAGTGTTTCCTTTGCTGTGAAGAAGGTTTTAATATCATGGAATTTTCACTGTTATTTCCTGAGTTATCAGAATCCTATTCAGAAAGTTTTTTCCTATCACGATGTCTTAAGCTTTCCTGTATGTTTTCTTCTAGTAGTTTCAGATTGCAATTTTGTATTAAGATCTTTGATCTATTTTGAGTTAAAGATTTTCCATCTTCTAGTGTCTTCTTCAAACTCTTTCTTTGATGTTTCAAAGTTTTCACTGTAAAGAGACTAGAGAGATGGCTTAGCAGTTAAGAGCACTTGCTCTTAACTGCTAAGAGGATCCAGGCTCGAGTCCCAGGATCCAGGCTCAAGTCCTAGCACCCACATTTTGGCTAACAACCATCCATAGCTCGGGTTCTAGGGGATCCAGTGCCCTTTTCTGGCCTTTACAGGCTTTGCATAACATAAATGCAGTTACATACATGAAAATATTCATACACATAAAAATAAAAATAAATAAAAAAATTAAGTTTTCATTGTAGATACATTTCACCTCCTTGATTTATTTCATTCCTATGTATTTTGTTTCATTAACTTTTAAGAGGCCATTTTGAATTTTTTACTGATTTCTTTCTTTCCAAGTTCATTATTGGCATATAAAAAACTACAAATTTTTGTACACTGATTTTTCTCCAGCTACTTTACTGAAATCAGATCTAAGAGTTTTCTGATTGTCTTTAAGGTCTGTTAAGTATAGGTTCATATCACCTGAAAAGAGGGATAATTTGGCTCATTCTTTTCCTCATTGTACCCTTTTCTTTTTCCTGATTTATTGCTGTGGCTGAGTCCCTTCATGTGGGAATGTTTTTGTCTTGCCCCAGTTGCTGATGAATGTTTTTTACTTGATGTAGAATTGTGGGTTGGCAGTTCCCTCAACACTGTATGGATGCTTTCCTAGTGTTTTCTAAGGACATCAACATTCCTCAAATTGCTTTCCCCTTGTTAAGGATAATGGATTACTTTTTCTACTTTCAGTGTTTTCTTTATCTTTAGATTTCATTGATTTAATTTTAAGGTCTATTGCTTTTTAAATTTGTTGTTTGGAGGGATTTTTTTGTTCTTAAGGATATAAATGTTTGTCTTTTGTTCAAGTTATATTTTCTGCAGTTATGTTTTCAATTCTTTTCTGATTTATAGTCTTTCATCATTTTGGACTTTTAATACCAGAAGGTTATTACTTTTTAATACTGCCCTTCAAGTCTCTGAAACTTATTTTTTTCCACTATTTTTCTGTTATAGAGAGTGGAAAAGTCCTATTGATCTATTTTCAGGTTTGTTTGAGTCTTTTCTCTGTCATAATCATTGTGCAGTTGAGGCAATAGAATGACTTTTAAATTTCAAATATTTTATTTGTAAGTTCTAATCACCTTAAGTAGTATTTATATGTTTGGTAAGAATACCTATCTTTCTATTCATTTCTAGACTGTCAACTTTTGTCTTCTCAAATATGGCCATAATAGATATTTAAAGCTTTGAAAGAATTTTAATATCTCAGTTATTCCAGTGTTGACATATAATTGTCTTTTTCCATGGGATTGACTATTATGAGACTCGGGATAGGATTGAATATTATGAGATGCACCTGGGGCCTTTTCAAGCCTTTGGAGAATGACAGCACTTTTACTTCACCCTGGGCATATTCAGACAGCAGATTCTGCTTCAGCTTGTTTAGGCAGGATCCAGGCCAGCTCATTTCTCAATGTCTGTACTACACAGGAGTAGCACAGGGTGAGTCTGGGATTGTGCCAGGTCATACACAAATTTGGAGTTCCCCTCTTCATTTTTTCCCTTTCTATATCTCTCTTTTGTTTTAGTTTCAGTTATGTTGCTGTGATAAAATACCCTGACAAAAAGCAAGTTAATGAAGAAAGGGTTTTCACCTCACAATTCCAAGTTACAGTCAGTTATTGCCAAGAAGTCAAGGCGCAAGAACTTAAGGTAGTCACTTCACATCTGTAGTCAAGAACAGAGAAAAATGAGTACATACTGTGCTTAGTGCTCAGATAGATTTCTTTGCTTTTGCAGTTCATGACTCAGCCCATGAAATGGTGCTGTCCAGATTCAGAGTGGATCTTCCTATGTCCTTGAACCCAATTAAGAAAAACCCTCATGGGCATGCCCACAGGCCAACCTGATCTAGGCAATTCTTCATTGAGACTCTCTTCCTTGTCAATTCTAGGTTGTGGAAAGTTGACAGTTTAAACCATACACCACACTCATTATCTGTGATTCCCAAGGGCCCCCCTCTCTAAAGCTCTGGACTAGAAGCTTGTGTTTCTCTCATTTTATCCACATATACTGCTGCGTAGTTTGTGCCACTGGGCAAAGTGGTGAAGGAAAATAGGGAAAGTCATGTGGATTTCAGTCCTACTCCAGCTCAGAGGCGAATAATTACTTCTTTTTTCTGCCAGAAAGACAAGTTTTTTTCTTTGAGATTTAGGCACTGACATTTCCACCTAATGTAGCCAAAAATATGGGTCCAACTCTTGGGGTATAAATAAATAAATAAGTGGAAGAAAATCCAAATAATTGATTTAGATTTCCTCCTATTCACATTGAGGTTACTAGACTTACTGAATTTCTTTCAGCCCAGTGACATCATTTTGGCCATGTGATGAAAGTTAACATCAGCAATGAGAAGTTAGGTAGCTTGCCTGTCCCTTTAAGATAAAAAAAGAAAGACATTCCAAATCTCTTTGATATTCCCAATCTACCAAGACCATAACTCCAGGAAAAGCTTAAGAAAACATCAGACATGTCCAGTATGAAGGATGTTTTACAAACTATGTAATAAGCCCTCCTCAAAATTCTCAAAACC